AATATATATATATATATATATATTGTATTTTTATTATTAAAAGTCATTTCATTCTGACAAATATTTAAATTACATGATTTTCTTGAATAGACATGATTTGCAAATAGCATCCCTATGTTTCGATACATACTGAAACTGATTTTTGTAACAACATGTTCTTCCGTTCAAACCTGCTCAACATGTCGTTCTACTAATCTCTTCGATTACAAACAGTTACTTATTTATCACCGAAAATGGCTACTAAAGTTTCTTTGTTTTGTTTCTTTATTTACAAACTTATTTCACGATTCTCATCCTCACTTACCAACATCTGATACGATGGCCTTATTTTAAGTAGAGTTCGTAAGGTCCTTAAGAAATAAAAATGTGGCAGGAATACTAAGATGTATTTTATTACGTTTATATTCACCACATCATTCAATATTTAATTTCAAAAACTTGTAAATTTGTGGTCATGAAATGTTGGGTTTAAAAATTTTAATTGCAACATTTGTGAAGTAACAAGTAATTTTCCAATTTAGAATTTAAAAAGAAGTTAGCTACGTACTAATATAAGTCCTGTCTTGAAACTATTAATCATGCATAAAATATCCTACTACCCTACATGGGGGCACAAGAATTTGCACTTCATAAGATTTGCGAATGATACTAAGTAAACTTGGTTTGCAGTAAAAAGAATGGATGTTATTTACACACTCATTTCATTAGTTTATTAAAAAGTATAATTTATTAAATTAAAAGGAAGGAAAATGTAGGTTTAAAATACTCCTTATTAAATAAGAGAACAATTGTTAAAGTTTTTACAATACTTTTTAACTCTGACATTCCTCTCATGAGAAAACTTCTTTTGTCTTTTTTTTATTATTATTAGTTAAAGCCAGCTTACGCATTCCTGGAATTTTTGCATTTTATATTTGAAATTTCAAAGTCGAATGACATGCACCCCTAGCCCAAAGAATAAAAGTTAAATAGCTGTAAGGCCGATTGCATTATATCGACATTATTTCGAAAAAAATTAACTACTCTGGTTCAATGAAATAGTTATCAATGAATCATTGATATTTCTGTTTCCTTATTACGAAATATAAGATCACAATTTGTATTCATAATTTCTTCAAAGCATGTGTTAGAACTATTATGATAGGTTATTTAAGTTGAAAAAAGCTTTATGTTAGGAAAAAAAACAATTTTTGAGATGAATATTCTAAAAAAGGCACGGTTTTTGAATCGATGACAAAAGAAGACATATCGAACATTTTCCTGACATGTAATATTTTTTTGAATTGTGCTGAAGTTGAGAAATAATACTTAAAATTTTGTAAGCAAGTTTTTTCAACATTATCCTTTTTAAAAGGGCAACTTTCTTAAAGTTAAACGGCAAAAGTAACTTTGAATGTTAAAATAAAATTATATGTCAGTCATTTTTGGCTAATTTCAAAAACAAAGCAAAATGTTATATTTTTTGCTATGCACCTATTTACTTTTCATTACTCAAATAAATAACAAACAATTAAAAAGACGATCTTCATTTTTTCTCTTCAATTTTCGAAAAAAAAAATAGTATGCTTAGTAAATGGACAGCTGTTCTGAATCGAAAAAAATTGGTTAGCAGAATATTTTTTATTTCTTAACAAGATTTAATTCTCAGCTAGCTAACAATTATTCTGAATTTTCTTTCAATTAAAACTTGACAATAATTTAAAAAGGAATTTTATTTTGAAGGAAAACCTAAATTAAAGTATTAAAAAAATTTATTAGTATATTAATGGAAGAATAATATACGTTGTAGCTTAAGGAATTATATTTTGAGGAATGCAAAAATTTAATTAAATAGTTGGTGAAATAATTCTGTGAAACTCGAGCAGACGGATAGTTAACATTTATTTTAGGATTGTGACTATATATAAGATGTTGAAAAATTTTAAAATGATTAAAAATGATGACTACGTATTCGTATCAATAATTATAAAATATATAATGTACAAATTGATAAACATCTTATTCCAAATTTATGCATATGTTGTTATTCAAAGAGCAAGCTAAAAAATAATATTAAAAAGAGCTGATGTATAATCGCATTCTATCAGAAATATGCTTTTATAAAATTCACTATTCCTTGAATAAAATGTTTTATTCAAAGCTCTTCATTGAATTACGAATAAATGTTTAGACTAAAAAAGAAATATCGTATTTTATAATTTAAAAAAAAAAGGATTAGCAATAGGTTATTAGCGAAAAAAGTATGACTGAAGTTTTACTCTACGCGCGCGTAAGTTACCTTCCTCGCAAGTTAACCACATTTTAATATTAATCGCCCAATTTAAATATTTTTTCATTGTCGCCAAATTATTATTTAAAAAATAATAAATTTTATTTTTTCGCTGCTTCTCTCAAATAAAAACTGCTGAAACTTTAAATTTTGCAATAAAAAATACATAGATTAATATGAGATAAAAATTTATACCTCATAATTCAAAAATTTTTCATTCATAATTAAATTAAATAATAAAAAGTAAAAAATTATTGAAATTTTTTTTGTATGAAATTATCTTTAGGTAAATGGGTTTTATAAGTGGGTGCAATTTTCTTTGACTTGCTTACTTAATTTTAAAAATATGACTGAAAACGCAAAAAGTGAAATTAACATTACTGTACTAAGATTACTACTACAATTAGCATTATACCAAACTTTGAATCTCTCTCCTGACCTAACTGAGGGGACCATTTTTCCCAGATTGCGGCTACCCCCTATATTTTGAAGACTAAGAATCCAAATATGTTTAAAAAAAAACTAAAAAA